TTTCACCCGTATGTTCTCCACAATAGCCGCAGACTTTGGAGTATTGAAGTCGTGACACGTATAGTAACGTTGTCGGTACCGCTGGACTTATTAATATGTTACGTTAATGCAGTACTTACTTTTAAAAATACATATATATATATATATACATACAATACGGCACCACAGTACATTTACTCAAATATTTTGAAAACTTTAAAAATCTACATAGAAAGAAGATATCCTTATTGTTAACATTAGAACTACGTTCAAACTCATGGTACGACGATTTCGTTTGACTAAGGCAAACAATTCTTTTATGGGAACCTGTACACATTTTTACAATAAGAATCCGAAATATACATTATATTAAGGTTATAATTTTAAGTTTAAAACTTACATTACAAGTATTTTAATTAAAAAGTCATATTAGGAAATCGAAGTCTTTGTTTGAGATGAAGATGTATGGACAGACGACATGAGTTTAGATTCACACAAATATGATTCAACGTGTATTTCATAGTATTTAAGTTTATTTGAAAGAGCCTAGAGTTTCTTGCTCGTTCTTCTCAGGAAAGTCAGCACAGCGAACGAGCAGTGGCTTAAAAAAATTTACTTTTAGAATAAACGATTATTTGACATTGGCCTTGAGTGACTGTGCCATTTCGCTTTAATGGATCAGTTCCAGATTCAGTCAGTTCATCCCCTAGTTTGTCACCCTTAGAGGTGGAATATTTTCTACAAAAAAATCATCAAAATCGGTCCACTAATACTACGGCCGGAGTAGTAGCATAACATATCTTTTTTAAAGTCGGTTAAAAAAATACTAGATGGTGGAATAATAGATGGACCACGGAAAAAAGTATACACATACCGGAACGTTTAATTTGAAAAAAGAATGACCTCAATCGATCTTTTCATTTCGATTAAACGTTCCGGTGTTATACGGCCAGTGCTTAAAAATAACTTTCTTATCATAATACAACCTCTTTTTTTAGCGTTTATAAAATATGTCCATGAATAAGATATGCACTAAAATTAAGTTGCAAAATTCAAATCTCAATTTGCATCTGTCACGAATGCAATTTTACTTGTTGAAACCTTCTCCCAGGTTTGAACCATCAAAATTCCGATCTGTATGGCTATGACTTACGTTTGACGCATGATTGGTTTGATTCCTATCGATCGTTTAGAATGTATGGAGTTTGCAAGGAATAGTTCGTAAGACATAATTTTTGCATACAATTTGTCCAAGCAGGTACATCTCTTCTTAGGAGACGTATTGTATGCAAAACAAATAGTAGTATGTATTTAGTAGCAGTAGAGCTCCTTGTGAAAGAGTTCGTCCAGGCTTGTACTTACTGCCACCTTACTTATTTCTGCCACCAATCAGTAATGTCAGCATTACTGTGTTCCGCTTTTGAAGGGTAAGGGTGCTGGTGAAATTACAGGCACATGGGACTTGTCAACTTATATCTCAGGATGACGGGACACAGTCGCAATGCCTCTCAGATCTTTGCGATTTAAAACTCTAAGTGGCACTGCAATTGTTATGGACAGGCGTGTAGCTTACCATCAGGCGCAGGACTTGGTCGTCCCGTCACTAGATATTATTTAAAAAAATGCAAACAACAAACGTCCGAAACAATCATTATTGTCAAATAAGTAATAAGTACTCGACTAAGTTAAAAGACGCATGATGTATATGAAGCTTCATATTTGACATTGTGTTTTAATTTGGTCGAATATTATTTATTTTAAAGTAATTGCTTGAGACAGATGTCGGATGTAGAAGGAGAGAAGATCCCCAGGAATGAGTCTGGAAGGACAGGTCAATGCCTAATGCCAAGTAATTTAAAAAAGCAAGTGTATTTCAAATCACTACCATTAAACTTATAAAAACTTTAAAGACAAACTCTTGTTTCTGTAGCTAATAATATTGACTAGCTAATTATATTTCCGAAACGAAATAAGGTATATAAATTCTCAAAACGCCTTTACATAGGCCTTAGTTTGAATAACGAAATTATTCTCGTAACATATATATGTATTCTCTTTTCGCTATGTAATCACATCCGACTCTGTTCTCCGGATGAGTCGTATTATGTCGATATGTCCAAACGAATGTCCGTGTAGCAATGAACATAAGGTACAAGTCAAGACACAGTGAGGTCTACGTAAATTACTATGAAAAAAAAAACGAATGAGGTTCGGAAATATATTTAAAAAAATTGTAGGAGAAAATTTTTGTTCCAGGGGCTATATATTAATAGAATCAGGGATGGACATTTTAAATTGAACACAACGTACATGGTTATAAGGTGCTATTTCATCGACTAAATTCGAAAGCCTCGTAACCTACATTAATGTCAACTTTTGAGAAAGCACAAGAAATAGAATTATTAAAAATAACTATATGACAATCTACGTATGATTACCTTTATTTTATGACTAAAAAAGGGTCTACAAATTACATACAATTATTACATTTGTAGAGTAAAAAGGGAATTTGGTTGAAAAAACGAAGGTACGACGTTATAATTAAAAAAAAATTACTTACAAATAATACTGCTAAAGAAAATTGTACCCGTGTAATACACATATAAAGATAATTATGATAAACTATTCCAATATTATAAAATATGAAATGTTTATAATAAAGTAAATTTAGCAATTTTATCCCATATACCCTTAGAATAATAACGCAATTACCATTAAAAAGTTTTGGAGAAGGAAAAAAGATTATCAAGACAGGATTTGAGTATGGTTTAAAGCACTCGAAATCATACTCAAGTCCCTGCCATTAGGATCGTATTTCCAATGCTTGTGTTTCCAGTGCAATCCTGACTTGAGCATTGAGTAGAGTTCTAGAATACAACCCTTAGAATATTAAAAAGCAATCGTAGATTTAAACTTCCAAATTATAACAATGTATATGGTAGGAGAATATTATATTCTGAAAATACTATATTAGTAATTTGTACATATCTGTTAAACAGGATACCAAAGGGGGTAGTACAAAGATTAGAATCAACAAATAAAAGGATCTGTACCAGACTGATTAGATGACACTTGGTTAGGGAGTAATATTATATAAGCTGGATAAATAAATACAAGATTTTGGAGTAAGTAAGTAATAACATTAAGATGTCCCTGTAGTAAGGATTTACTAAGGTGCATAATATTTAAATATAAAAATTTTAGCTTTAGTAATGTGAATAACTTTCTTTCGAATTTAAAAAAATGAAATTAATTCAGTAGTGAAAATCAGAATACAAAAATCGCTTTCGTCCTCTGCCTAATATAACTTCATAGACCTTGTCACCATACACAAGTACCTATCAAACGATGGTCCATCCACTCCGACGATCTGGACCATTTATTTAACCATGTCGTCACATCGAAGCCTTCTATCACAATGCAACATACATCTTAAACCAGATCTTAACACTATGTTCTCTTACATTGACCATACAAGATCGAAAATGCTAGATAAAGTTGTTTATCCAAGTGTGTTAAATAAGTTGGTAAAGAATGTGTATTGTCAAGTTTGGTACAGTATAAATAGATGTCGTGTTTTTGTAAATGTATCATTCGATCAGTTGGTTTTAGTGAAGTATCTTCTTGGGTAGGTATTTGTTGCATAGTGATTTCAAAAGAATCAAAACGACCCGTGGCCAGTTATAGATGTGCGCACTGGATTGACACTGTATATTTACGAAAGTTGTGAAAAATATCTTCAACTTTAAAGTGAAAGTTTATGGTTCTGTTGCTAAGGAATTTTAATTTGAATGTATCTAAAAAAAACTGAAATTTTTATAATTATAGGAAATGAAACTATTTTTCCGGATTTAAATCGCGTATATTTGTTTTTTCAAACAAACCAACGTTTCGGGCCCGTGACTGAGGTCACAGGTACAGTCATGCACCAGTTTTTTTGTTGAAACAATGAAGTTTGACAAACCCCAGGTCCTTGCAAAAGAAATCCGTTATCTACCCAGATTGATGCGAGAGGCCATTGAAACTAAAAAACATGCTAATTTCAACTGGGAAGATGGTTTCTCCGTACCACTAGTATGGGATCCAGTATTTCCTCTGATGGAAAATCCCAAACAGACATAACACTGCAGTGCTAATTAATATGTTTTCAATTATTCTAATTTTCAATTTAACTTAATAAAATTCATATTGTTGAAATACACTTTTTTTACAAAATGCAGCGTAAATTGGTGTTTCTTTGTAAAATAAAAAATTAGGTAATACATAAATAATTAATAACTTTCGTAACTGTAGTGAAAAAATAGGGTGGTTTGCCTTAATATTAGACATAACTGGTTGATGACTGTACCACCTCAGTCAACTGTGACCATGGGGCCTGTAAGGGCCCGAAACGTTTATTTGTTTCAAAAATCAAATATGTACGTGATTTAAGTTCAGAAAAATAGTTTAATTTCCTAAGTGTAACACTCGCGAAAACCTAACAACAGGTTTTTTACCATGACTTTGTATTCTTGCCCCGTAAGTGACGGAACGAACAAGTCGTGCGTCTGTTGGTAAGCGACACTCCTGTCCATAACAGTTGTAGAGTCGCTCAGATCTTTAAATCGCAAAGATCTAAGAGCGGTTAGCGATGCAGTCGCTAATCGTCTACTTTTACACATGCGCTTCACGGACGCGCGTTTGCATGATTTGTAAGGGACACTGCCACTGCGCCTGTCACCCTGAGACATAAAATTACCAGTCTCGTATACCTGTAGGGACAGGGAGCTTGGCGCTTGGCGGCAGAAATAGGTAAGGTGGCAGTAGTTCCCTGGACGACTCTTTCACAAAGACCTCTACTGCCAGCCCATTGCAAAGACACAGCCGGTCCATTCATGACCACATGAATGATAAAACTTCTCTGAAGTATCGGGAAAAGAATAAAAAGTCGTGATATCACGCATGGTAAAAAACCTGTATCTGCGATTTAAGCTCAAAATTACTCATTATCTTTTTCAGTGCTTAAGGATAAGAAGAAAAAAACCTCCAAAATACCCATAAAGCTGTAAAATGCAGGTAAGGAACGTCTCTGTCTTTACAAAACCAGTGAATTATTTTGTACAGAGTCTAGAGCACTTCAAATTCAACTCTATGATTACGATAAAAACCGCCCGAAATTATTTTTTTTTCTTTTCATTTATTTAAGAAACAACAGCCTAATACAGGGGCCCATTACAGATTTTCTAGATTAGAATAGAATAGAATAGCAATCATTTATTACTACTACGCCACAACTCAAAAATACACAGTAAGAAAGATAAAAGAAAGATGAAGCTAAATTAAAACAAAAAATTAAAATAAAACAAAAAAAAAATGAAATATAAATAAAATTATACACAACAACAAAGTAAACACTAAATATTTAACACAATTAGAGTGAATGTCATGTATGCGGCTGTGGCGATATAAAGTATCCCACTCGGCTATTGTCACCGCCCCGAGAAAAAGGCTGTGACGCCGATTTTCAGTGGACCCTAAAACTAAGTGAGTAGGATTACACATATAAGTTAGTCGTAACAAACAGACTGTCTCGCATTGCATACTGGAATAGATAAGAGTGTATTACACGATGTTTAGTATTAAATAAAACGAAAGAGAAACTCAACTTAATACTTGCGGTGTCATAAAATCTACTAAACTACCATAAGACCACGGCGTAAATACGACTCGTCCTCCGAAAGGATAAAATTTAAATAAGTTTGAGCAAAAAGAAAAACAAAAATAAGTGTCAAAAAAATGTCAAGCTTCTTATGCCATTGACTGTACCAATTTATTCTTCAATATTTTGTTGTTAAGGCGAAAAATCGGACGCTCGGTGTAACAAGGTCACATCTGCAAAATGACAACTTTTCTGGAGAGAACTTTAAAAATTCTACGAACGAAAATATTCGGTAACTTCTCTAGGCTTAAATAGTATAGTTGTACAATTTCACATACTGCTGCCGTTACTTGAAAGGGCCCATGTGACAAAAACTCAAAACCGAGAAAATACTGTTTAAAGAAATTAAATTGAAAAATGTTTACTTTTCTGTTACGGTAACTTCATGCCATATCCACCTAGGAAAAATAGTGGAAGATCGGCCTTTTTAACCGACTTAAAAAAGGGAGGAGGTTCTAAATTCGACTTTATGTTTTTTTTAATGTTACGCGATAATTTGTGAACCGATTTTGATGATTCTTTTTTGTTGGAAAGAGCGTACCTTAGTAGTGCTTCCATTTCAATTAGAAGAAAATATTCCACCTCTAAGGGTGGCAAACTAGGGTGAGTGACTTTTGGGGTCGGTTTTTTTTATACTCTGTACTGAGATGATTTTACTAATTACGGCAGTACACATAACAAAATTTTTAAAAATATGTCACATGCGCCCTTTCAACCAACGGCTACAGCATATACATTATTTGATCATAAGTTTCATGAGACAAATGCACTTTTGACGCATTTGATCATAAGTGGCCTTATTACATCAAAGGTACGAAATTATGTTGTTATTAACAAAATGGTTGTTACAGACGTTTATACCGCTACTTTGTCTACTATCAGTCGTTATAGCCGAACCACCTGTGGGGTAAGTCAATTTTATACCTTGTGGTAATCTAGAAATGAGTGTTGAGGTTGGACTAGCTCGAATTTTGGTTGCACACGACGTAGACAGCTCCAAAAAATATATCCACAAGGATACTAAAGTAACAATTCTGGGTTAATTTACCTGAAATCATAGCTGCAAGAAACGTGATCACAAGAACAATAGATACGCCGCATAAGCATTTTCCACTTTAAATTGATGTTGCAATCACTCGTAGAGGCATTTGCTCTTGTCAGTGAATCCTGTTTTTAAATACCTATCTTGAGTGGAAACTTTGACTCCAACCGTTCAATAAGGAAATCTCCCCATTTCACTTTGTTAATGCGAAAAAATATTTCCAGTGATGGCTACCCAGCAGCTCGTTCCGGTCACGGCCAAGGCCACGATCACAGCCACGGTCACGGCTCCGATTTCCAAAGATCTCTATCCCAAGAATACGGCGCCCCCTCTTCCAGGGGCTTTGGTTCCCGCTCCCCCTCCCAAGAATATGGCGCTCCGGGCGCAAGAGATGGTCTTTCCCAAGAATATGGTGCACCATCAGCTAGAGGATTATCGCAAGAGTATGGAGCTCCGTCTGCTAGAGGTCTGAGCCAGGAATATGGTGCTCCGGGTCTAAGAAGTGGACTGTCTCAAGAATACGGCGCTCCGAATCAACTAAGCTCTGTAGATTCCTATTCTGCAGCGTTAAGATCTCCTTCCACGTCTTATGGCGCTCCTGACTTTCGGTCTTCTCCTTCTGAAGAATATGGTGCCCCAAGTCAAAGAAGTTTCGGAGGAAGCTACTCTTCAGCACGTTCTCCGTCCACAAGTTACGGAACACCAGGTTTCGGTTCATCATCCCGATCACTTTCTCAACAATATGGTGCCCCAGCTGCCCGATCGTCTGTATCTCAATCTTATGGTGCCCCAGGCTTCGGAAAATCTTCCTTTGGTGCTCGTGGCTCGTCTCATGGTTCTTCTAGGAACAGTATTTCACAGTCTTATGGTGCACCGGCATCACGTTCCCTCTCTTCTTCTTATGGAGCCCCCAATGCAAGAGGTTCGGACTCTTATTCCCAAGGATTTAAATCTGGATCTTCATCGTACAGTTCCTCAAGTGCAAGAGGACTCTCTGACACGTATGGGGCTCCAAATGCAAGAGGACTTTCTGACACGTATGGAGCTCCAAACGCAAGAGGACTCTCCGACACGTATGGGGCTCCGAACGCAAGAGGACTTTCCGACACGTATGGGGCTCCGAACGCAAGAGGACTTTCTGACACGTATGGGGCTCCGAATGCAAGAGGTCTGTCTGATACGTATGGCGCTCCGAGTGCAAGAGGTCTTTCTGACACCTATGGCGCTCCAAACGCCAGAGGTCCTTCTGACACGTATGGAGCTCCGAACGCAAGAGGTCTATCGACGGAGTATGGTGCACCTTCAAGCAGAGCTGCAGGATTGAAGACTAGTGCTTTTGCGTCATCTTTTGGGTCAGCTAGGTGGGTTACCGTTATAGGTGTTGTAGGTAACATAAGTCTTATAACCGTTTGGTGAAGAAAGTTACTCACGCTGTGGTAGATTATAATGATTGTGGGCCACCCAAACGGTTATAAGATTTGAATCGAGAATTTCGTGAAATTATTTAAACACCAGGAAAGTGTTGCCAGCTTAACATAAGCGTCCCCTTTATATGATGCAATCACGTACAAACCAAGACCTTCAATCGACGGTGCTTGCAATTTTCACGAGATCGTTGGTCCACCTTGTGGGTACCACCATACCACAGCGTCCTCCACCACGTGGTCAATACACAGAAAACTTTTTCCCATCATGTCGGTTCCGCAAGTAAGTAAATCTTATATCACTAATATCTTATTGACTTCTTTATCAGGTCTTCCCCTTCTCAAAAATATGGAGCACCAGCCGCCCGAGGCGCCCCATCTGATCAGTATGGTGCGCCAGACAGTTATAACGCGCGCTCTGGACAGAGCCAGGGTTACGACTACTCCAGGGCTGATTTGGATGAACTAAACTCGGTAATTTTAGTGTTTTCTTTTTCACAAAACTCATTTTAATATTGAAGCCTAAAATATGAAGTTATAATCTGTTAAATTTAAATTTTTTTTTTGTTTAATTTTACTGTTTATGTGTTTACTTATTTTACTTTTTGTATTTACTTTTTTTTTTGTTTAATTTTACTGTGTATGTAAATTTTACTGTTTTTACTGCCTCCGTAGCCGAACTGCCGAAATGCCGGACTGCCACGCAGAGGTCCCAGGTTCGATTCCCGGGCCGGGAGAAATAGTTGTATGGCCTACAATTATTTCTCTCGTGAGTTTGGGTGTAATTTGTGGTTGTCTATGTGTGTGTCCATGGCACCCGCGACACAGGGTTTCCCTAGTGCGGGGCTATGTTGAGTGTGTGCGTTATTTATTATTTATTTATTATTAAATTCAAATTGTAAATGGTTCATATTTAGGTTCTTACGCAAGGTATATAGTTGTTTATTACGGCCATAAGTAATAAGTAAAACAAAGGAATTATGTTGTAATATTAAAGAAACTTTATCTCACAAAACTTTTGTAGCAATATCAAGATAAATTGAGATTCGATTGAGATTGTCATAGCAATTGTAATGAGTGAATTTACTAAATTTGCTCTTATAATTTTGGCAGGAGCCGGCGAACTACGACTTTGCTTACAAAGTGAATGACTACATGTCCGGCAGTGATTTCGGGCATCAGGAGAGTCGTCAGGAAAACAGAGCAGAGGGGACTTACTTCGTCGTATTGCCTGATGGGACTAAACAGGTTGGTAATACAACTACACCACACCTGCCAAAACAAGTCAAATGTTTCTCAAAAGTAAACGATGGCGTTAGCCTTACAACACGTATATAATATCAATAGTTCAGTACAGAGTACATCTATTTTGGAATCGGTTACCGGAAAGTGCGCGAAACCGATTTCATCCCCTAGTTTGACACCCTTACAGGTGGAATATTTTCTTCAAATTTAAATGGGACCAATGCTGGGGTACCCTCTTTCCAACAAATAAAGAATCATCAAAATCGGTTCTGTTCGGTCGGTTAAAAATAGAATTTACTCTTTATTCTTTGATGACGAAGGAGCGCACGCGATTGAGATTTTCACACGGAGGACTTTGTTTTTATCGTTGTTTATTATCTTGCTTATTGTAGGTATAGGACACTGGTTAAAGAAACTGTTGTTTGAAAATTGCAAATCTGAACTATGTAAATCGCGTAAGTTAATTCACGACATACCGCCTATACTATTAAGAAAACTAATTTATAATTAGAAGAATACAATTTTTTTATAAAAAATAGTGGTAAGCACAACATTAATAGGAGGAATAATAATAAACTGGCCGCTCTTGACTGTCGTCTTCACAAAGTCACGTAATCATTTAAGGGGAAATGTATATGTATACGCTTCTATTATAAGTCCCGTTACTTGATGTTATATTAAAAAAAAGAACTTTATGGTCAACGAGCCAAAATCTTCCGCGGAATTGCCAACTGCCTCCGTGGCCGAACGGTTACCATGCCGAACTGCCACGCAGAGGTCCCAGGTTCGATTCCCGGGCCGGGAGAAATACTTGTATGGCCTACATTTATTTCTCTCGTGAGTTGGGTGTAATTTGTGGTTGTCTATGTGTGTGTCCATGGCACCCGCGACACAGGGTTACCCTAGCGCGGGACTATGTTGATTGTGAGCGTTATTATTATTATTATTATTAATTCTCGAGAATGCTCGCGTATTCCGCAAAAGATTTTGGCTCGTATCTAGTTTGTACGTTACACAATAGACCATAAAGTTTATTTTGCTATGTACAATATCGTTACGAAAATTCCCTTCCATTCTGTTCCTTCGCAAAATAAACTGAGCTTAAAAACGTTAATTGAAAGATCGCATGTGACATTTAAAAAAAATGTTATCTGTGATCATTAAACATGGCCGATCTGACACTACTTTTATTTTTTCCTGGATGGAAAGGTATGAAGTTACCGCAAGAGAAAGGAAGACATTTTTTAAATTTAATTTCTATAAACATTACTTTCTCGGTTTTGAGTTTTTGTCACTAGCGCCTTTTTAACTAACGACGGCGATGCCATACTAGGGTCGGCGGACTAAAGCTCATAAGTCAAAAAAGTGCTTCATTTGTTAATATATAATTATATATTTTTTGTATTGTTTATAGTGTTGGAAGATGTGAAGAGAATTTTAAATTTGAAAAAGACGCATCTAGAATGAAGTTACAAATTTATGAAGTAATAAATGAATTTGACTTATGTGCTTTAGTCCACCGACCCTAGATATAGCTTTGTGTATTTGGATACCAAAAGTTCTTGTAGTGGCCCATTTAGCACTTCCAGTTGTCTCGATCTATGATATTTCAAATAAATATTGTAAATGATAAATATGTACAATTGTTTATTTACAAATAGTTTCCTACTTATTCTTCTCAGGGGAATCTGCTTTACGAATGAACGTGATAATTTAAAATGATTATTTGAATTCGAGAATTTTGACTGTACATCAGGGCAGTACCTACTTTGTTCTAACATTTTGTAGTGCCGAGTTTTTACAAATAACTATTTAAACATATTATTTTCTACCCTATTTCCAGGTGGTAGAGTACGAAGCGGACGAACGCGGTTTCAAGCCTCGCATATCAGTGGAGCCGGTGGACGACGGATCTGCTGGCGGGTATGACGACAACGCGCAGGACCTTGGTCGCAGTGCCGGCGGGCCTTATTAACCGCCGGGCTTTATTACATGCTCTTTTCATTAGTCAGCATTAGGAATGTTAGGGACATCTGACCGGTGTCAGAGACGAACTTGTAACATTCCTAGTCACATCACAGCCCGCCTATAACGGAATTATTTAGACAATTGTATCGAATGTTCCGGAACAATATAAAAAATTTATAAAATTAGATTTCCACGTTTTACGTGGACTTAGTGCCTGATACGAAACAGGATTTTTTAAGACCATTTGATCACCAACGAATATTTAAAAAACGAAAAACGGAACGACCTAACGAATACTCAAAATATTATTTATTGTTTTTAGCAAATTGAAAAATTAAAAAAAAACTTTGTAAATAGTTTTTATGCGTAGTTTGTAGTATGTTGTGCAAAATAAACATTTTGATGTTTCATTTTTGTTGTTTTTTTTGAAACGTATTTGTGATAATTTGTGGTTTAGTCTAATTGGATCGCAGCCCTAATGGAGTTTTAACTCTACTTGTTTACCTTTAGGTAGACAATTTCCATTATTGGATTATTCTTCTATATCAAATATGTTATTTCCCTTATATAATACCTTTAAAAGAATTAATTATTAAATAAAATTGTATAGAGGGTAATTGTAATCAAAAACAGTTTGTTATACAACCGATTCCGTCATAACTGGTTTACATTGCCAATGCAATTAATAAATAGTGAACAAAAACTTACGTGGGGATTTATAAAGGAAAATATCAATCAATATAGTTATTAAGAAACATTGACCTTCCAAAAGGAAATCAAATTGTCTCAGTACAGTGTACTAAAACAAGTGTTTTAAAACAGTGTACAAAAAACCCACTTCAAAAGTTCGTGGAATTGCACCTTTCGCCAAGCGAAACAAGATTCATCCCCTAGTTTGCCACCCTTAGAGGTGGAATATTTTCTTCAAATTTAAATGGGACCACTACTACGGACCACACTTCTTTTCAACAAAAAGTCATCAAAATCGATTCGCAAATGTGACGGAGTGAGCGCGTAACATACATACAAAAAAAAACATACAGTCGAATTGAGAACCTCCTCCTATTTTTGAAGTCGGTTAAAAATACTAATATATTATGAAGGGACTTTACAGCTTTTTCCTTTGCCCAAATAAACGGATGAAAACTTAAAAAAACCACATGCTATTATAATATTCATAGCGACGAGTTTCAAAATGGCCACCGCAAATACATACCTAAGAATTTCCCTCGAAGGGAAAGGAAGGCACTAAATATCTGAAAATTAAATTATTGAAAAAAAATTATGTATGTCCTAATGGACGAAAAATTTTATTAAGTACTAATGGTTTCGATATGCCGATTGAGTTTACATGCCATGACTTTGAAAACCATTGTCGTTTTAAAGATCCGAGGTAGTCCTCCTGAACAATGAAAATACACATAATAGATACATGAAAAAATAATATTTTATCAATTTTAGGGCCATATACCAAATGCATTACAACTGCAAGGATCGAAACTCTTACTTAACTCTCTTTATTAGTAAATATCCCTTGAGTACACATTGATCATGCATCATTTTAAGCAGCAGTAGAGCTCCTTGTGAAGGAGTTGGTCCAGGAAAGTACCTACTGCCACCTTACCTATTTCTGCCGCCAAGCAGTAATGTTAGCATTAACTACGTTCCGGTTTTGAAAGGTGAAGGGTGCTGGGGAAATTACATTCACATGGGACTTGTCAACTTATGTCTCAGGGTGATGGGCGCAGAGGCAGTGCCCCTCAGAAATTTGCGATTTAAAGCTCTGAGTGGCACTGCAGCTGTTATGGATAGGCGTGCAGCTTACCATTAGGTGGACGACTTGTTTGTCCCTTTATATAATAAAAAAACAAAAAATTTGAAACTAAAATTTCAGCTTTTTTAATAAACGTTTTTTTCTAACAAACAAGTCATGCGTCCATGGAATTAGGTGCCACCGGATGAGCACTGAGTTACTGTGTTCCGGGTTTGATGACACATGAGACTTGTTTCCTCCGATCTTTGCGTTTTGAAGCTCTCAGTGGCACTGCAACTGTCATGGACGGGCGTGTCGTTTACCACCAGGCCCAGGATTTGTTCGTCCCATCACTTAATATTATAAACTTACCCTGGGGGTCGAACAGTTGGGGTCCCACCACAAGCTTTAATTCATTTGTGTACCAACTCAACATCTGTCGACCTTCATGAAGGATAAGTATTGGAAGAAGCGTGTCATGTACTGACGTTTCCGAGGCTGGCTACCGGACACCCACGTTGCGTCACACGTCGCAGGCAATACGTGTATATAATAATATAATCATTAGTGTTTTATTATATTATTACATAATTATGTTAGTCTATAAGGTTTATCGTAAGGTGTATTTATGGGTCTTTGTAAACTGAATACAAAGAAATAAATAAAAAAAATATAAAAAAGGTTCCACTCGTATTATGTGGATTTTCCAAGAATTCACACGAAGCGTAATCACATTTATTATGGAGAACGATGGAGTGCGATTACCCACCAGCAGACTTGTTCCCCATACGCTATAACTTGAGTGAATAGGATTTTTTCAGGTATGCATTCTCCATCGTAGACCCCATCGTCACTTTCCAAAAAGGCGTTGACCGCGCACTTGAATTTTCTAAATAATAAATATCAATATATATTAGCAAGATAATTTATTACTATATTGATAACGTTGTTTTACTTTTTTTAATTCTTTTTTACTTTTTAATTGCTGTAACGCCATTGTGTAAAATAAGGAAAAAAAAACAAAAGTACCTATAGGATGTAACGAAAAGACTACGCCAACTAAAACTGGCAGGCTATATCTGTAAGTTAGATAATACCAGATGGACAAAAATTACCACAGAATGGATCCCAAGGAACGGAAAACGAATCAAGGTAGACACAACTAAAGATGGAGATTTTCGCTGAAAAAATCGGACCGGATTGAATGACTAAGCTCGTTTGCGCGCTGCATCCGGTTCGTATACGTTCCGGATCCGAGAGTATACAAATTTAGCAAACTGGGACCCACTTCGGATGTCGCTTGTTCACTAAGTCCCATTCGAATCCGAGAAAAAACGAATATCGCTTGTACAGTAGAGATAGTATATAACCATGATATAACCAGAAATGGAGACGAAATGTCATTTAATTTGTTTGAAACTATTCTGCCATATCATCACTGTGACAACTGCGCTTCGATTGGCCAGCCCGAATTCGAAACAATTGACGGGTATCCTCAATGGATGTCGTCACTTCAAATCGACCAGTTATTGGCGCTTTCAGTGCAAACGAGAACTGATATTTATAAGCGATGTATCACTGTTGAGTTACAAAGAATTTGTGGCCCTAATTTCGTCTCTATTTCTGGTCGTATCCTCGATGAGCTAGAACGATACTTCAACTATAGGCAACCGCAGCATACCCTTAAATATATATATTGAAATTTACAAAAAAAAAAGTCTACCGATAAAATGAAATTAAAATTAACAATAATAATAATAATTTAAATCCGATAAACAAATTAATTAAACTGCTGCTGACTTTTGTAGCTGGATATCAAATTTCCTTGATGAACGGTCAATCAGAGTAGTTGATAGCTTGATTTGATAGCTACCGATGCCGGAGTTTCTCAGGGGTCGGTTCTCTCTGCGACTCTTTACCTGCTACACGTCAATGACCAGTTAGTTCCAGGTATTGTTGGGTATGCGGAAAACAGCACTGTTACGGAGAGATATCTGTCCAGCGCAAAAGACAGCAGGGTAGTTATCCGTTCGTTGAGAGAGCCCATGGTGGAGCGGACGAACTTGACCTAAAGTCTTGTCTCTCAGTGGGAAGATGACAATCTGGTCGAGTTCAACGCCACCAAAAGGCAGGCCTGTCTGTTTTCTGCTAAAAGGAGTCAATTTGATATGACTCCCACTTTACGGGTATATCTGTCTCTCTTACCGATAGCCTGGATCTCCTTGGCACAACATTGAGCTCAACCCTTAACTTTCGCGCTTATATTGAATGTAAGGCACAAATTGCAGCCAAAAAACTGGGTGTCCTTAACAAGGTTAAGCGATATTTCACGCCTGGACAGTTAACTTTATACAAAACACAAGTCCGATCTTGCATGGAGTACTGCAGTCACTTGTGGGATCGCTCAGCGAAGTATCAACTTGAGACTCTTTGAGCAGAGCCAGACGACTTATTGGCGACGATAAGCTCGAATCTAAAGTTCTTAGTTTAGCCCACCGGCGCAAAGTAGCCCGTCTTTCGGTTTTTTACAGAATGTGTTTCGGTGAGTGTGCTCATGAGCTGCATCAGTTCATCTCGCCCTTTTACCATCGGACATCCAGACGTACGGCGGGACATCATCCTTACTTGGTCGATATTCCCTTCAGGCGTACTAAGCGCTTTTCATCATCTTTTATTAGGCGCACAGCCCAGGAATGGAATTCCCTGCCTGCGTCTGTATTTCCGAATTCATATAACCCGGGTATCTGTCAGGTGCGACTGAATAGGCATCTTCTGGGCAAGCTCGTCCCATCGTAGATCCTATCTTTGCTCCTGAGCTAGGTAGTGGTCAAGAGCAAGTCCATTTAATATAAAAAAAACTTAAGCTAAAACTACAACAACATTCTTTCCTTAAATTTATATAACGTATCACCAAATATATGAACAGTTTCATCTTCACAGGATACTTAATTATACATATATAAACTAGAAGGGCGGGGGACTGGCGAATGCTTTCCTACATCTTTTTACAGAAACGAACATGATGCAAAAGTACTCGCAAACTAATAAGAATAGACGGGCAGTCTATCATCCCGTTCATAATTTTATGTAAGAAATTTAGGCCCAAAGTATTTATCCTACCACTCCAAGTTTGCATGCCAAAGTGCTCAAGTCGGGCATTGCAACAATTTACGCCAGGCGTCGAAGTAACCTTCTTTGGACTCTTTCGATTCTGTCAACATAGACTCCAGGGACCACACAACACAACAGTACTCAAGCTTACATCTGACATAGGCATTAAATAGTTTTTTTTATAACATCAAGTGCCGGGACAAACAAGTCGTGAGCCTGATTTTAAGCTACACGCCTGTCCTTAACAGTTACAGTTCCACTCAGAACTTTAAATTGCAAAGATCGTAATTTCACCACCACCCTTACCCTTCAAAACCGGAACACCTAATGCTGACGTTACTGCCTGGCGGCAGAAATAGGTATTTCCATTTCTAATAATAAATCCTAGTGGTTTGTTAGAAGCGACCAACATACTGTTA